GTTTAGCACTCAAAGAAAAACTAGTTTCTGTAAAAAAATAAAATAAAAGAATTGAATAAATGATAAATTTTCTGTTTCGTCACATTTCGTCGAAAGCTCATCGTCTGTCACACCATCTACTCCACCAGATCAAAATAAGGTGCCCCAGTCTGATTCACAAAACGAAGAACGAAGGGTAAGTTCATCAAATTCATCAAATTCAGAGAAATATCTTTTTGATTCTATCGATGACAATACGGAATAGTATTTAAAAAGCCGTGTGAATCACTTTGCTCAGCACCCAAGATTTCTGAGAAAAATGATCTGCTGCAAAAAATCGGTCTAGTGAATACACGCACCACGGCGATTTAGGGTTTTGAACGGTGTCAGTTGGTTGTGAATTATCTTAAGGCCTTCAAAGGCCTTTCAAAGTATATTCTATAGAATATGCTTTGAAAGGAAGCTTCAAAAGATTTTTGGAAAATATTGAATCAAATGAAATTGATAGTTCATTTTCACTGATATGAATTGGACTATTTTTTGCATCCATAGCTAAAAGTATGCCTAGTAGGGTTTATGTATGGATTATAAATCCTAATTTGAAAAATCTTCAGGAAATAAATAATGAAGAATTCACAAATTGTGTATTAGAAAAAGATGATTGACTTGATCTTGCATTTTGTATTGATACAGCATCATTTGAATCAACAATTGCATTAAGCAGTAGTAATTTTAATAAATCAAAGAAAGAAGCCAATCAAGTTGTTTGCTACCGAATATTGATGATCCTTCTTGGTTACTTAATATTGTTAGTACACCATTTAAAGTAGGAGGAGCTTCTATTTCACAAAAAGAATTTTAATTACCAATTTTAGATCAGATTTATTACTAGAAACGTCTCCAGATGTTTTAAAAGAAAAAATTTCAATTATTTTAACAGCAGTTGCGTCTTTTAAATGGAATTTGCATACATTTGATATTCGAACAATCACTTCACGAAGAATTCATCAATTTCAGAAAGAAATGGAAATATTTTTGAAAGATTTGTTGAATAAAACCTCCCTGTCGATTAACAGTTCAAATGCTAAAAGTTTGATGAAAACTAATATTGCAATGCCACATGAATTGGTACAGACGTTAAGTAACACTATTAAAAATTTACGTAAAACTCGGAGAGGAGAATGGATTAATGCTGAATTGAAAACTATTGCATTAGAAACAGGTAACAAAGCAAAAATTTTTAAACAAGTATCTTGGATTATATCAGAATTTGTTAATGAAATGACTGAACATTGGAAAACAGCAATTCTTGATCGTAAATTATTACAACGGGTTGTACAATTACCAGTTGAAATTACTAACACTATTCCATTAGTCCTTAGAGAAATTCAGAATATTGCTCAAACTCAGAAAGTTAAAATAGAAAATAATTTCCTTTTTTTTCATATGGGTACACATTTGAGAATAAATATGATAAAGTTAACAGCAGCTTTACATCTTTTTATTAACATTTTGTTAATAGATATACTAATTTATTTTATTACTGTGACATTTCGATACATTTAGTATCATTTTCAAGACAAAAGAGTCTAAAATATGACTAAATGGAATCCGATTTAGGTGTCTTTAATGCGATTAGAGCAAAGATGCTATAAAGTGACTCCCAGGTAAAGTCACATTATGTGTCTTCAAAGGAAACACTAAAATGGGGCTTTTTGGGATGCGACCTAAGTGTTTTCTAGAAGTCGCATTTTTGTCTAGAGTGTACAGGTACTGTTGCTTCTAGTATTCTTCGGCGCAATCTCTCCGGTTGTCTTTTCTTTGTTCTCTGATGACTCATTGCATGTCATCTTCTTTGTTCGAAAGATTTCAAAATGACGAGATCGACTTGAAAGAAGATCTGCAGGATTTACGTAAGGGAAGTTAGCAGCAGATTTCTATATTTTCGACTAACATTTTTTATTAATGCTGTGCCATCTCTAGAAATAAGTGTGCCAGATAGAACTCGATGAGCTCTATCGAATGGCACAATCAGTTTTTCAGAATATTGTTTATTTCACTGTTAAAAAAGACAAATACTCATTTAGTAGCGTGTGTCGAATAC